TCCACTAATACACATTTAATTACTACCAACCTACCTCTCTCTCTCTCTCTCTCTCTCCCTCTTTCTCTTCATTTAGATATTTTGATATTAACTGATTCTCAAATCAATGAGGTTAATTTCATCTGTGTTCAAAACAGGAAGACTATGAACGATAGCGCATCATACTCTGAAATTGAGGTAGGTCTTCTATCTCTGTTGTTCGATTTCCTGTCTCCTGCTTCATCCATTTCCTCCGCTTTTTATTCCTCCTTTTGTCAACTACTGTATTACGGCTGAACTCCAAAATCCCCTCCCAAAAAAAAAAGAAAGATCACGAACAGTTCTGTTATTGTAGAAGAAAAGTCGACGGTTAGTTAGAATGACAATGCGATATTTCTCTCAGATGCTTCTACTTCCTTCACTTTTCAGAAGTACTTCAACTTGCATAAAGCAAGTTTACAATTGTAGAAAGAAGAATAAAAAAAGAATGCAATGCAGTTGTAAAGGTAAGCTCTGTTCGAAGAAGAGAAACTAAATATATTACTATTTGAGGATCTGAAAATGAGTTTACATGAAGAGGAGGAATGAGAAGAGGACTTTTGGATATTATGAATGAAATGGCCTCTTATACTTGTTAGTACTAACTATTCTGTCGCCATTCGTCAGTTTCTTATAATAATTCATTTCCTTCTCTTTTCACTCCTCCTTTTGTATCACCACTCAATTCAAGAACTTTAAAATTTCACTGACTTTTGAAAATTGGCCTTCTTCTAGTAGGAATATAAATTGAATGAGTGAGAAATCCCGGATATTTCTAGCAGTTGCATTACTTGACAGACAGCTGAATAGCACTTCCCAACTTTCCCTTTTACTAACAATTGACCTCATATATACGTGCATCCTTCTGATGGTATCTTCAACTACACAGTATCCAAAATTGTGTACTTCTACTTCATACAGTAAATAATGTGAGCGAATTACGGAATTAGCATCAATTCATAGATGTTGCTTATTGCTTTAATGCTTATTGCTTTAATTTGTCAAAGTTAAGATTAAAGTAATAAAGTCCACATAATTTTCTTACAGATATGCCTAAGCCAACTTAAATATCACCCCGTTTGTTTATTCAAAAAGATATTTTGATTGTTTTTGAAGCTTTCGTATAGATAATTCCTGCGACAATTGCAGTAATAATGACTGATGCTTTTTCTGACAATTCGTTTCGATGAAAGTGAATTTCAGAGAAGTTTTATCTCTCTATTTAATTTCACGATTATCGTCCTGGGTAACTTTGAGACCGGTATGTTAATCTCCTAATTACCATTATGAAACGATCTACTAATGAAATAATCTACTATTGATCTACTAATGAAAGGTTTCCAAAATTACGAATTTCCGATTATGGACATTTTGTGTAAGGACCAAATGTTTAGCACTACTAGATTCAGTTTTTCGAAAGTTTTAAGGTGATAGAACGGAGAGAAACATGAATTCTAAGAGAATAATACTGAGAAATCTGAGAAGAAAGCTAGACCAACTACAATCATTTTCCACAATGAATGAAAACAGGTAAGTTAAGGAGCTTGTCTGTCCACAAATTTCGTTTATAGATAATGCAATCATTCCTGCTGTGCCTTACTGACATCATTCCCTGATATGAGTTTGTAAGGAAATCAATGTTTTATCAATGAACAGTTGATTTCTTTGAGGATTCTAAAAGAACATTTCATTATTAGACAATGTGCTTCATTTAACTCCAAATTATGCTTTCCAGTTTACAACAATGAAGAAAAGCAATCACTCAAAAGATACAGGCGGTAATGTTGCAGTTATGATTCTCTGTAATAGCAAGTTGGATTTTCTGACTTAGTATGTTTTGAAAATTATTACTAGAAAATGTAGCTAATTATTTCCTTGACAATCTGTGAGCGGATCCTGCGAAGCACTAAAAAGCCTATCGCTTTCTTTTCTCCTCTTCTCTCGCTTTTTGCTGACCTGAGACGAATGGGAGATATGACATTTTTGGGATTTTCAAGGAAAAGCGAAAAACACTGTTTACCTGAACTTACACTAATGAGGCGAGTTCTATGATAAGCTTTATATCAGTCGCGCTTATCTTTTGGAGTGTTAAGTTTTATCACTTCTCGGATGGAAGTAGCATATGTTTTTTACTTTTGCTTCGACTACACATTACTCCGAAGTTTTTTTTGGGTACTATTCATCCATAATTTTTCAATTATTTTTTCGGATTTCAGTCGATCCTTTAAACGAAAAATAGGTCATAAATCGATCATAGTCCGAAATTATATCTTAGGTTATCATATGGAAGATAGCAAGAGTTGGAGTTACAACACCAAACATACGGGAATTAGTAGTCCCCGGATTTGTAAAATAGTACTTCAAAGATTTGGTTTTTCGATTTGGAAGTTGCTATGCTTTTCAGCATGACTTACCACAACACTCATCTTATGTCTGTCTACTAAATCTTCTCTTCATTTATCAACCTACAGAATTAGCGTAAATATACAAAAACACTTAAATACAGTTTAACATCTTCCAACTCGTTTTGTATTGTTGCTAATAGAAAAACGAGAGATGTTATTGATTCATTCCATTTCCATGAAGCTTTGTGCGGAAAATGAAGTTTTTGATAAGTGATCATGATGAAAGGAAACACCGATGGGAACTGACTAATGTGGCGAAGCGTAAACATAAAGCTACCACGTCGGCAGTTCTTTGAGGGTTTATTTTATCGAGTAATAAGAAATGAGATTGTGGGAAAGCAGGAAGCATTGAGCCAGCATTTTGTATCAGAACCCGTGTCTATAGGCAGATTTTATAGAATCGGTATTACTATCCATCAAAATAATAAGTTAATCTGTTCAGTGGATATCTGAGGTATGCAAAAAAAAAAAAAA